GGGCCCGCCCCCAGCCCCGCCCGGCCCAGGTGGAGGCGGCGGCGCTGCCGCGGGACCGGCACCGGGAGTGGCACCGGGGGCAGGACCGAGGTGAGCGGGGCCGAGGAGGGGAGCGGAGCAGGGCAGGGCGGGGCGGGGGTCCCGGTGCCTCCGCGCCGCTTCGCTCCGTGGCCGCCCGGTTTGTTGCTGCTTTGTGAGCGCCGCGTCCCGCCAGCTTCCTCCTCCGCCCCGCGCCTCCCGCCCGGCCCGGCCCGGCCCGGCCCCGCGGGGCTGCATGGGGGCTGCCCCGTCCCACCCCGGACACTTTGCGGGGCGGGGGGCGCGGCGCGCATCCCCCTGCCCGGGCCGTGCCCCGCGCCGTGCCCGGTGCCTCCAGCGCGGGCATCCGGAGGATGGCGGGGGCCGGGCTCTTCCTCCTCCTCCTCCTCCTCTCCATCACAGGGGGAAGTGGGTGCGTGTCCCGGCGGGGTGACCCGGCCGGAGGGAAAGCTCTGCCCGCTCCCGGGCCGAGGCAGGCAGGGAAGCTCTAACCTACTTTCTGGCGCTGCCGGCCCGATAACCCGGCGGGCGGCTGCTTTTTGTTTGTGTTTGCTGGTTTTCCCCCTGCCCAGGTGAGCGGGGCTGGCAGCGCCCCTCAGGAGGGCAGGTGGGCAGCGGAGGGGGCCGGGTCCCTGACCCCCGGCATCCCCCTGCCCTCCGCCCGCCGGGGCTTTGTTGTTGTGGCTGTTTTGAGGTTTGCCGGAGGGCTCTGGGGCGCTCGCACGTGCTGCCTGGAGTGGCGAGTGCTGCCACCAGCCCTTCGCAGGCGAACAAAATCCTTACAGAGCAGGGGGTCGGGTCATCCTCCGTCCGTGTGTACATCCCGCCGGGAGCAGAGGGATGCTGTGTGTGGGTATTTCAGTCAGATTTTTGCTGTTGGTCCTCCAGGTTTGGGATAGAGGGGTGAGGCTGAGCTGTACCCCTTCCTGCCCTGCCTTGCTGCCAGGCCAGCAGGACAGGGCAGAGACCATCCTTCCAGGCTTCCTACAGCCAGGTTGAGGTGCCCACGGTGATCTGAGACCCTGCAGTTCTCGCTCAGCCCCCCAGGCCCACGTCCTGCAGGGGGAAGGGGACCTGAGAGGCTGCATTGTCACCGCTGGTCCCTGTGGCAAGAGGAAGTGTCTGCCTTCTTCCCCAGCGTGGCGTCATCCTTCTCGCCACCAGGAGCCAGGACATTGTCCTGCTTGCACGGTCCCAGTCCCTGGATGGCTGCTCCTGGGGATTTCCAGGGTGAAGTCATCGTGCTGCTGCTGTCCTGGGCACACAGCCTCCAGCCCAGCTGGGGACTTGGGAGAGCACCCCACCACAGTGGCACGGCTGTCCTGAGCGAGGAAACGCTGCCACTCAGCTCACTCCATTGTGCCCTCTGAAGCAGCATCCTTTGGCTCCTGCCTTTTTCCCAAGTGGGAAATAACCGGTTTGGAATTATCCCACCTCCAAAATGAGCTGGAGGGTTCAGCTGTATCTGAGCCTGGGAGAAACCAGAGCTGCCTCTGCCTGTGCTACCCTGGTCAGCTCTGGCTTCACGTGTGGCTCCCTGGGCTCCCAGCTGCCGCACCTGGGCTCTGCCCTTGCCAGCTCCTTTGCAGTTAATGGGGTGATCAGCACCTTTTGCTTCTTGCTCATGTGGCCGGAGGCTCCTGCCGGCCCTGCTCTGAAGCAGGTGACCATCTACCACTTCCCTTCCTGGGGGTTCTGTGGCACGGCTGCAGCTGCGCTGGGGCACCTGGAGGTGCTGCAAGCCCCGGAGCGAGAAAGGGCAAACCACGTTGTGGGGTTTGACACCACAACAGAACCCTGATGCAAATTCTGCGAGACGGGGCCGAGCCCGGTGTGGCTCTGCCATGCACGTGTGAGTGCTGAGCGTGTGAGAGCGGCGCTGCCGGGGCGGGCGGCAGGAACAATAGATGCCTGTGGATGCTGGGAGAGCAGCTCCGAGCTGGGGATGCGGAGCAGGGGGGCGTGAATCCGGTGGGGAGGGGTCTGCTGGGTCGCCTCAGGGGGGATGCACTCATTGGGATGCGCTGGGGGCACTGGGGAATGTGGGCTGTGTTTGGGCTGGGATGAAAGACGAGCTGTCCTCTGGTTCTGTTTTGTTCTTGGATGCTGTTCCTGTTTAGCTCTTACAGTGAAGCTGAGGGATCCCCCAAATACATCCTTATTCCTTCCCTTTGGTTGTTCCTGAGCTGAAAACAGCCCTTGGGACAAGCCAGGAATCCAAACAGAGCTCATTACCAAACAAAGTAGGAGACAGGTGATGGAGAACCAGCTGGTGGGGAGGTTGCAGAGCTGCCCAGACCAACATGGGGCCCGTGAGGCATTTCCACATTTCCCGTGGGCATTGGGAGTCCTGCAGAGACCTGACCCACTCCAGAGGAGTGAGCGCAGCTTGGTGCTGACAGGGGCTCAGCACTGAAGGAGTCAATTAGTGAAAGCTGAAAATTAATTACTTAAATCTCTATGAGCCCACAAGTGGTGGGATCATGAACTCTCCTCCTCTGGAGGAGCTTTTTACCTAATGACTTTCAGTTTCCGCTGTCCTGCCGGCCGTGAGATGTCTGATAACACAACCAGCTCCCAGCGGGGGTGGGCACAGTCCCCTTTAATTACAGGCATCCAGGAGTTGTGATCATTTGGGGGTGTGCAGTGCTTTGAGTTATGGTAATTTCCTGGCCTCCGAGTCAGCCTGGAGAGCGCTGTGTGTGCTGGTGGGTATGGAGGAAACCCTTGGCACTGGTACCCCTTTTTCCCACTTAATCCCTATTATTAAAAAAAAAAAAAAAAAACCAAAACCAAAAAAGTAGTTGTTTGGTGGTTGCTGTCTTAATGAGGCATTTAGGGTGGAGAATGGACCCAGGGAGGATCCCAATCCAGCCCTGCCTCTGCTTGCCCACCACACAGGACCCCTGTGTCCCCCTCATCCTTGGGGACTCACACTGCGGGGTCACATTAGCTGAGCACAGGACTGAGGAAACCCCCAAATAATTGCTCTGGGAGGCTGGGGGAGCAAATATTTATGGGGTTTGTATGTGAGGGCTTCCTCCTCCACCCTTGTCCTCCAGGAACTTAAAACTGGGAGAGCTGTGTGGGCTTCAATAGAGAAAGAACCAGCTCCCTGCCTGTGGAGCAGCAGTGGGCTGAGGAGGCAGGGAGCCTTACTGTAGTGCAGTGCCTCAGTTTCCCCGCTTATGAAATGCCACAGAGGAGTCAGAAAGCACGGAGGTGTCCAGTGAAAACACAGCTTGTCACCTCAGGGACAGTTTGTGCAGCCACAAGAGCAGGGCTGATGCTGTGGCTGTGCCCTGGGGGCAGGGGCAGTGAGGTATAAACCAACCCACTTGATGCTGTGCTGCCAGAGGCTGCAGTGGAACCTGGGACAGGAGGGAGCAGTGCCCAGGGATCTTTTTGGCCTTTTCTCAAGCTGCTGACATTGGATGGGAGGAAGAAACCCACCAGTGTGGAGGGCACATGGGCTCTGTGCTGAATGCCCAGCCTTGTGAGGAGCTGTTCAGATGGGTGGTGTGTGGTCCCCCAGTGGATGCTCCTGCCCTGTGGCCATCCCCCAGGACCATCCCTCCCATCTGCAGGCACCTCTTTCAGCTGCTGCAGCTTCCAGGGCAATGGAGCCCTCCTTCAAACAGCCTCTGTTGGTTTGTGTTTTATTGATTTATTGCTTAAAAGTGATATTTCCTGGTGTAATTCCTCTGGTCTGACTGACCCACTTGGGGCAGAAGAGATGTGGCCAGTGTCCCCCGAGGTGCCCAGTGTGCCAGTGCCCCCTCCCATGCCATGGGGCTGGCTTTACTCCCTGTGTGGCAGGCTGCAGCTTGTGCTGGGGGCCCGATGGAGTTGTTCCTGTAAGGGAGTTCCTGCAGGAATGCCAGGCAGGGCTGGGAGTGACCTCCTGTCACGTGTGAGCCCAAAGGCTGTGCTCTGTGCCCGTGGGCAGCCAGGGCAATCCCCAACCCTCAGTGCTGGCGTGTCCTGCCCGGCCTCAGCTCCTCCATGGAATGAGCAGGGACCTGTCACCAGGGCTGTGCTGTTGCCATACAGCTTTTCCAAGGGTGATCCCATAACCAGTCACCTCTTGTACTTGGTGACTTAACCAGTCCAAGCTCTCCTGGGGAGGACATGGAGGTGGCTCCTTAAAAAGCAGCATCTCCAGCCCCTGCTGAGCTTCCCTGTGGGTGCAGCACCCCAGGGGTGGGATAGCAGGCAGGAGGAGCATGAAGATTGTTCAAGAGGAGACCCCATCTCCAGCTCTGGGCACTGCAAAGTGCCTGGCTGGCACAGATCCATGGAGATGCTGTGGTGGGAAGAGCGTCACACCGCAAAGTGTGGGATTCCCTGTGCAGGGTTTGGGGATGGATGCTGGATGGGGATGAGCTGTTCCCAGCCAGGGAACCCTCTGCAGGGTGCAGGTCTGGGTGCTTCAGGCCTCCTGCAATCAGGAGTGGAAGGAAGGAAGCCGAGGAGTGGCCCACCCACGCTTGGCTGTGCTGGCTGCGAGCAGGGAGGAGCAGCTTCCCCCAGCTGTCCTGGGGCCAGGGAGCTCTGAGGCTTCATGGGCTGTTTGGGGGACAGCCTCCAGCCCCCTGCCAGCCGAGGTGTCACCAGCCACAGCCCAAAGGGACACCACAAGGTCCTTTTCCCTTCTCTTCAGGGAGCTGCTGGCCCTGGAGTGGGAAAGAAGGAGGCTGCTGGTGTCCAGCCAGGGCTCCCCCTTTGCACAGGGCCTGTCAGGGCGAGCAGCACTTTCTAAAAGCCTTGGAATGGCTGTGTTGAGATAAGGAGTCTGTTCCCAGAGATAGGGAGCTGCAGCCATGGGGGCTCCAGCCCAGAGCTCATCTTATCCCTGGGCTGAGCCAAATTCCTGCCCAGGGCTGAGCACCACCTCCCAGTGCTGCCTCCCACACAGCGTGGGGATGGCCAGAGCCCAGGGCAAGGGAACCCTCTGTGAATATGGGGCATTTCTGCCAGTCCTGTGCTGCTCTGCGTGGCTTGGTGTGCTCTGGAGCAGGCAGCAGGGCACTGGGGAAGCCTGCAAGCCCAGCCAGGGCCCTGGCACCGAGAGCTGCTGGAAGAATGAGTGTTCAGCAGAAGAACCAGAGGGAGGAGTGTCCCCTCCAGCCCCACTGACCTTTCATGCGAAGAATTTTGCTTTGAGGAGGGAAGTGGGAGTGAACTCAGGGCTGACCTGCAGCATGGGGGTGGCAGGCACGTGGCCTGCAGGCAGGCTATCCCCTTGCCTTGGGTGAACACCAACCTGGGACCCCTCAGCCCCCTCCAGAAGGTGCAGCCAGGGCTGAAACACTTGCATGTCTGTGCACTCTGTGTTTAAGCCAAGCTAATGAGGAATTGGAGTAGATTTGAGTAATTAATCAGTTCTTCAATAAAACCAAGTTAAGTCAGTCCTGGTAGGCTGGGGAAAAATGAAAAAGCTTTCCTTGTGTGTCTGTGACCCTGCCTGTGGAGCAGCCCACCCCTCTTGACATTCACCATTGGAGCTGCTGTGCTTCCCTCACTCCTGGTGGAAACTTTGGCCCTTTGCTGTCCCCAAAGCCACTGGGGTGACCCAAAATCTCCACGTGCATGTTCCTCACTTGGCTTGAGCTCCAGCCTGAGGACGGGCTGAGGTGGGCTGAGGGTCCCCTTGTGCAGCCACAGCCACTCCATCAGCTCCCCCCACCTTTGCAGGAAGCAGGGGATGGGTTTGTGCAGTGCTGCCTGGTTGGGGTGGTTGTGCTGTGAGGGTGTGTGGGCTCCAGGGAGGGGGGGACACATGGGGTGGGTGGCACAGAGGGACCCCAGCCCACCGGGACTTGCTGCCCACCCCAGCAGGCTGGGAAGCCTTTGTGTGCCAGCACTTGCTCTGCTGGGGTGGGTGGGGTTTTTAATACTGGTAAACATTAACGGGAGTGGGAAACGGGCTGTGGGAAAGCCTCCACGTGGCTTTTTCCACCCGCTGCCAGGCACTGCAGGCAAATCCTTCCCTCTCCATGCCGGTAGGGATGGCATCACCCAGGACTGCCAGGGAGCCCAGGGCCACATCCCTGGCCCTCCAGCCCTTGCAGCAGGGAAGCCCAGCCCAGGCTGAGTGAGTGGCCCTGCTCCCCATGTCCCCATGTCCCCGTGCAGGGCTCTCCTTATCAGCGGGCCCAGCGTGGCTCCCTGCCCGCCATGCTCTGTCTCCCCAGCCACTTTCCTTCCTCCTGGGGCGTGCCATGCTCCCAGCTCAGCAAACCTGCTGCCATTGCCCAATGTCCTTCCTGATGGAGGAAAATGGGAGAGGATGTTCTAATGGTGGCGTGGGTGAGGCGTGTGCTGGCTGCCTGCACGCCCTGGGCATCAGACAGGATCTCAGCACTCATCCCTACCCCATCTTCCTACCCCAGCCAGCAGGGAGGTGTGGATTTAAGCCCCTGTGGGTGTCCATGCTGACCGTGTGGCTCAGTGATAAGGGAGAGGACAGCTAACCATCCCCTCTGAAGCACAGAGGGCCTCTCTCAAGACTCAGAGTGAAACCCTGCATGTCACAGTTTTGCCATCCAGTGCTGTTGTGACAGGACTGGGACACGTGGGGAAAAAAATGGAAGTGTTTTTCTTTTTTTTTCTCCAATAATACGTTTTTATTTCAAGAGCTGTTTGTGCTCTGTCTCCTTTTCTCCATCCCTGAAACTTGAGACTGCAAAATGATAAAAAGCTTTTTTGAAAGGGAGGAGCAGAAGCAGAGAAGGTGCTGGGTCTCTGCTCGGGTGTGAGTCCACAGGAGCTCGATGCTCAGAGCAGTTGCACAAATTGAGTTTTCTGTTTGGAGCTCTTAATAACTGGGAGCGCCTTTTAACGCGGCTCCAGCCTTGAGAGAGGTCTTTAACGTGCTCGTGAATCATTCATGGGCAGCAGCAGCAGCAGCAGCTCTGCCTGATGGGCTCCTGGGTGCCAGCAGTGGCAGAGGCTGCGGGGCTCTTGGGGGCCCTGTGGCACTGCTGGCCCCTTTCTCCCTGCCCTGTGGAGGTGCAGAGGAAGAGCTGGGCTCATCGTGCTCAGGGTGATGGGTGTGGTGGGTGCTCCTGGGGGTCCCACTCCCTGCCCCACACCCTTGGGTGGCTCAGAGCTGCTTTGTCCTCCAGCTGAACTGCGGCAGCTGGAGACAGTGTTATTCCAGTAATGTCCCTTCCTCCAGTGCCAACAGGCGCAGGGAGAGAGATCCTGATCCTTCTCCAAGCATCCATGAACCCACTGCACACACCCTGCTCCAGCCAGGGCTGATCTGCAGGGTCATCTCTGCTCTCCTGTGCTGTGGCTGTGCTTGGCTGTCCCAGTTCTGCTCACCTGGCCTTGCTGGTGGTCCTTTTGTGTTGCTTGGACCATCCCAGCATGTCCTGCAGTGAAGCTTTGTATGAACCACATCATTTTTTCCATCACTTTCTTCCTCGGGTGTGCTTCCTCTGGTCAGTGCTTGTTGTGATTCGTCCTGGGGCTGGGAGCCAGCCCTGGTCACCTTCCTTGTGCCTTTTTTTGGTTGAAGGCTCAGACCTTGTCCCAGTTGCTCCCCAGTGATGCCAGCACATCTGCCCTCTTGGGAAAGGGTGGGGCCTTCACCCCAGTGCTGCTGTTGGTGCACAGGCTGTGTCCCTTGCTGCTGGGTTCAGGCTTTGGTGAGCTTCAGTGGTCAAGAGCTTTGGGAGGGGAGTTGGTGATAGTGGGAGATCTCTTCTTACCAACCAGACCAGGCAGTCCTCCCTCCACGCCCTGCCCATTTATCTCTCCAACAATGGCAGCAGCCCCAGTGCATGGAGATCTTTTCCAGCCTAAAGTGACAACCCAGGACCCTTCTTCCAGCCCAAAGCACAGCTCCTACCAAGCTCAGGACATGCTTGTGGCTGCCAAGTCACCCCCTGCTGCTGTGACCTGCCTTGTCCCCACAGCAGGACATGTGCTCGGCCATCCCCCCGTGTCAGCTCCGCACGTCGCCTCTCACTTCCTTTTTCTGTCCCCAGGACAAAGCCACCACATCCACCCTGAGTGTCCAGGGACTGGGCTGAGGCTCCCTGGGGTGAGAGCTGTGCCCTGCAGGGGGGTGGCTGATGTCAGGGCTGCCGGAGAGGGAGCCATGCTCCTGGTGGCAGGGCTGGGGGGTGACAGGGACCTGGGACTGCAGGGGACCTGGAGGGCTTGGGGCAGGCTGTCCGTGGGTGGAGGCACCGCCTGGCCCATTCCCACGCTGAGCTTGCCAGCTCCAGAGGGCTTGGGCACCAGCACCAGGCACGTGGTGAGCTGGAAAACACCTTCCCAGCACCATCCCCTGGGGATTTCTCTGCCTGGCACGGGATAAGGCTCTCGTGGCTCAGGATCTGTGCTCAGGGGGTGGCTGCTGCCTCCAGCCTGTGTGGCAAAGGAGCCTTGAGCCCTCGGGGGCCGCTGCCCTCCTCCCCCTCCCGCTCAATGCCAAGTGTGCCAAGGCACGGAGCCGTGACAAGCGCACGGCCGCGTGACCGTGACCGGACAGCAGGTGCCCGCCAGGCTGTGCCAGCTCCCCCGGGACTGAGTCACCTCAGGAGAGCCCAGGCCAGCCCTCCTGCGTGGGGAGCTGCTGGGAAGTGAGACCAGGATTTTAAGCATGCTGCAAAGCTGCTTTGCTGGGAAGCACAGAGATCTGGGGCTGTCCAGGGTGTGATGGGGATGGGATTTTGGGATGGCTTGTGTAAGAATTTGGCTCCAGTTTCTGTGCTTCGGGCTGTGCTGGTTCTTACCACTCAGAACCATTCCCCAGAGCTGGATGAGGATGAGGGTGCCCCAGGGATTGCTCTCACCCCAGCGTGTTCCCATTGCCAGCTCTCCAGAGCAGCTGCCATCTCGGGCTCACTGCTGGCTGCCCTGGGAGGAAAACAAACAGAGCTTCCAGCTCGCCAATGGGATGGAAACTTTTACTTGCTGGGGCTGGCACTCTCCCAGTTTAGCAGCTATGAAATACCCAGTGAGGCACTCATATTCCATGCCTGATCTTCCTGGGCGTCTTGCTTCCCAAGAGGCAGGAAAGCAGCAGCAGGGGAAACCTCCCTGCCTGCCCCAGGCTATTCCCTGCCATGGAGCATTGCTGTAAATGGGGGCTTTTCCTCCTCCTGCTGCCCTGTGCCAGCGGCTGATCCCTGTCCCTGGTGTCCAGCCACCTGCAGCCCTGTCCCCAAGGTCTAGGGAGCACTGAGCTCAGCTCTTCCTCTGCCAGGATGCTCCTGCAGCCCTTGCCTGCTTTTCCATGCGTGGTTTTTCATCACAGCCTCTCCCCGCAGGAGGAATTCAGCCGTGTCCCGGGGCTCCCGTGTGTGAAGGACGGAGGCAGAGGAAGGCTGCCGTGGGTGTTTGCCATCACTGCACAGGATCCTGTCACTCTTATGAGGTGAGGAGACCCTCGTAGGGACCAGCACTGGCTGAGCCCCCAGGGGAAATTTGGGAGTTGATTGCTCCCAGCTTTGGTGCTGGAGAGGGAGCCCAGCACCCATTTTAATGCAGGAGGAGAAGACTCTCACAGGGCCCAGGAGCTGATGGAGGGCAGCAATTCCTGCCAGTGCTGCCCACTCCAGGCTTTCCCCTCCCTGAGGAGCTGGGTCTGGACTCCTGCATCCCCATGAAGCTGATCCCTTGGGCACCCCATGCTGCTTAAGCCAGACTTTGCTTGTGGTGTGGTCTAAGGGGAAGGTTCTGTTCAGAACTCCAAGTGCCAAGGGAGCTGCAGAAGTGTCCCTGTCCCTGACCCTTGGTGTGGGAATGGGCTGCCAGTAGGATCCTGTTGCAGATGGGGCTGGTGGGATCTCAGTCACTCATCTGGTTGCTCAAGTGATGTTGCCTAAGGAGAGCAGAGCTGGAGGAGTCTGGTCATTGGGGTCTTGGGCAGGGAGAGAACCAGGCCTGTGGGTCAAGCTGGCATTTTGCAGCCAGTGGCACTGTGCAAACGTGTCGGTGACACTATTCCCATGGCCATGGCTGTCCTGGGGGACAAGAGATGCTTGTGAGACCTGTGTGAGTCCCCTGGGCACTGGCACGTGGTCAAGCAGAAGATGTCAGAGAGGGCTGTGCCTCCCTTTTGATTGCCCTCGTAGTCCCTAATAGGATCTGGGACTTGTTCTCTTGCACTCTGATGGAATTACTTTTCCTGCAAAGCAAGTCCTGCCTGGTAGAGCTGGCTGCAGGGACCCTTGGGAGGGGATTTCTTGAGGAATTAACCACATCTTGGCTGTTAAGCTTCCCTCTCCTTGCACGTGGTGCCAGGGAGGATTCAGTCTCCCAGCCTGGTGTGTGCATGCACGTGTTAGAGGGGAATGTCCTGCACCTCTCCTTCACGGGGCACCCCAACACGTGACAGGTCCACGTGGGAGCTGTAGTGCACGTGGGGATGTGGATCAGGTGTTTTCAGGCTTTGTGCCCTCCCTTCCCAGGCAAGAAGAGCTCCTTGCAGACATCCCCTGCTATCTCCCCTTGGCTGCCTTGCCAAACTGGGAGGGCTGGTGTTCCCATGTGCTGCAGATGTGTGCCATGGGCCTGGCCAGGGCTTGCTGGGATCCCCTATATTTCCAAGGCACATGGTCAGGCTGATCCAGGCGGGGTGTGAAACCTGGGTGTCCCACTGGCATGTGCTGGGATGATGGGGATGCTCTCACCTGGTCACTGTTGCCATCCCTGCCCTACTCCCAGCAGGTGAAGGGATGGTGTTGGTGACCCCTGGGGGACTGGGAGTGGTTAATGTAAGCCTTCCTATCACCAAACTCAGGGAAGGAATGTGGGTTTTGGAGAGGCAGCAGCTGGGCTCATGATGGTAAGACTCACTTTTTCTCCACTTCCCACCAGCACAGCCAGGGACACTGGGTGTTCACTGTGGTGATGTCCCACTGATGAAGCTCCATCTCTTACGGGGACTCAGCCTTTCCTCGCACACAAGCTCCTGGGGGAATACTTCTCCCGCTGTGGCTGACTCCCTGCACCCTGCCAGCCTGCCGACCACCACCGGCCCGAGATGTCAGCCGGGGACAAGAACGGGGGCAGCCGCTCCAGCAGCAGCCGCCTGCAGAGCAAGAAGCCGCCCAACCTCTCCATCGTCATCCCACCCCGGGAGGCCGAGGAGGATGGTGCCCACAAGGAGGTGAGTGCTGCGTCCGTCCCACGCTGGGGTCGGGGGGCTGCCAGGTGCCATCGTGTCCCTGATGCCCTGCTCTGCCTTCCAGCCCTCCAAGGTGCCCATCTACCGCAAGAGCAAGAGCCTGCAGGAGCCCCGCCCAGAGCGCCGGCCCGGCTTCCGCCGGCAGACGTCCCTGTCCCAGAGCATCCGCAAGTGAGGGAGGGCTGGGCTCCAGCCGTGGCTGGCTCGCTCAGAGGGGGCCATGTCAGGACATTGTGGGTACTGCCAGAGGATTTGGGGTGGGGTTGGAGGGTTGTGTCTCAGAAGGGAGTGCAAGAATCACTTTCCTCCACTTCCCTTTGACCCACAGCCAGGTGAGAACTGCCCTGCTGCAGGCTGGGCTGAGACACCCCAGCCCCAACCATCTGCCAGAGGGGACGGCTGGGTGGAATGGTGGTACGTGGTGTGGGGGACCAGCTGTGTGACACGTGTGCCCACCCTGTGTCCAGGGGCACAGCGCAGTGGTTCGGCGTCAGCAGCGACTGGGAGGGGAAGCGGCAGCAGTGGCAGCGCAAGAGCCTGCAGCACTGCAGCATGAGGTACGGCAAGCTGAAGCCTGCCTATCGCGACATGGAGCTGCCCAGCCAGGAGGTGCCCTCCTTCCAAGCCACCGAGTCACCCAAGCCCGCCAAGATGCCCAAGGTAGAGCTCGGGGTGCGGCGTCCCGCTGCCAGCCTTGCTGTCCCAGCACTGACACCTCCTCCCTCCCCCAGATCGTGGACCCGCTGGCCAGGGGCCGTCCCTTCCGCCATCCCGACGAGACCGACCGTCCCCACACGCCCCACCACGTGCTGCCCCCGCTCACCCCCGGCGTTGTCTCCTTGGCCTCCTTCAACAGCATCCGCTCGGGCTACGGCCGCCTGCCGCGCAGGAAGAGGGAGTCTGTCGCCCACATGAGCTTCAAGGCGGCAGCAGCCCTCCTCCGTGTGAGTTTTGGGAGTGTGAGGGGGATCGCCTTCCTAAGCCGGGTTTCAGTTCTGTCCTTCGCTCATCGTCTTTGTTTCTTGGCTGTTTGCTGTGCATGGAGACTGCTGTCTCTCCAGGGCGGGTTTGAGGGGGGAGATGTTTTTTTTTAACTTGAGCTCTACTTAAAAGTAGAGGTTTTGGTGGAAATTGGACAATCTGAGAAAAAAAACTATTTCTGGGTTCCACTGCTGAGGGGCAATGAAACCTCTCCAGCAATTTTCAGGAGCCCTGGACAAACCTTGGGGATGGGTTTGTGGGTATGAAACCAGATGAATTCAGAGGTCACTTGTCATGCTGACTATCGTGGCCATGGTCCAGCACAGATTCCAAGGGGCTAAAGGCAGCATCTTCTGCCAGTTCCTCTCCACACGAGAGGCTATGGTGGCCGATTGGGATTTAATCTTTGCCACTTGGCTTTGGAGAGGGAAGATCTAAGAAACCCTCAGTGCTGCAGAAACTGAGGGCTTCTGGTTGCTTACCTTCATTTGCTTGTGCTGCCAAAGGGGCGCTCTGTCCTGGAGCCACTGGCTCCCAAGCAAAGGAGCAAGAGGAGCTTCCTGTACCCCAGCTTCATGGACGAGGACATGGTGGATGCTGCTGATACCCTGGACTCGTCCTTCTTCAGTAAGGCAAGCAACTTTCCATGCTGGCTGCTGGAGCATGTCCCAGTGCCCTGCACAGGGGGCTGGGTGTGGAGCAGGGCTCTCACAAGGACCCCTGTGTTGGCACTCCACCCAGCAGTGACAGAGGCATCGGTGCCTGCTGTGCCCCAGTCCTGGTGATGGCCCTTGGGTGTGACAGGGAGTGATGTTGTCATTTGGGCACATTTCACAGCCTGTGATGGGCCATGAGTGGGATGTCACTGTGGGTCACCCACTCCCCCTGGCCAGGGGGATGCTCAGTCAGGGGGCTTCTGACCCAGGACACGTATCCATCCCCTTTCCAGATGGACATGCACGATGAGACATACTCCATGCCCGATGACGTCTTTGAGTCACCTCCTCTATCAGCCACCTACTTACGCATGCACCAGGTGGCAGAGGAAGCCAGGGTGTCCCCTGAGGTGGAGCAGCCCACCCCGTGAGTACCAACCCTCAGCAGGTCTTGCCCCCAAGGCTGCCCAGATGCCCTGCTGCAGGCAGGACAATGTCCCCAGCTGTCCCTGCTGTGGGCACCGGGCACTTCCATGACGATCCTGGGAGAACGGAGCCAGGAGGTGCTCAGAGCCTCACCTCAGGGCATCCTCGGGACTCTGGCCATGAGCTGGTCCTTTTAGGGAGGTGTGATGGCTTTCTCCTCTCTCGACAGGCGGGAGGGTGTCCGGCTGGCTTCGGTGTCGGGCGGCGCAGGCCCGGCTCCGCGGCGGGGCAGGCGCATCGCCTCCAAGGTGAAGCACTTCGCCTTCGACCGCAAGAAACGCTACTACGGGCTGGGGGTGGTGGGCAAGTGGCTGAACAGGAACTACCGGCGCAGCCTGAGCAGCATCGTGCAGTCCCAGCTGGAGATCACCGACAGCCACCGGTGAGGGCACCCCGGCTCAGATGTGTGTCCCCGTCAGTGCCTGGGATCAGGGCTTGGGGGACTGCACTGTCCCTTTGCCCAGACATCTATGACCAGCTCTGTTTTTGGGTCCTGTCCCCTCCAGGCCGTATTTCACATACTGGATCACCTTTGTCCACATTCTCATCACCCTGCTGGTCATCGGCACCTACGGCATCGCCCCCATTGGCTTCGCCCAGCACGTGACGACAGAGTTAGTAAGTTTTTAAGAGCCATCCTTCAGGGGGACTGTAACCACCGGTGTCCCATGGCGTCATGCTCCCTGCGAGGACTGGGAGCGTCTTGTGGGAGCATGACACCAGGGGACACTGGGAGAGAGCATTTGAGAGGCTCTGTGAAATGGCCAGGGCAAGGGGATGAGCAGCACCATGTTGCAGCACAAAATGTGCTGGGAGCAGAGCTGTTCCCCTCTCCTGCCTTGCTGGTGGGACCCACAGCCCTTCCCCTCGGATGAAGGGGCTGCTCAGCCCCTTTAAGTGGAGGAAGACGGGGTGCCCTCCCTCAGCACTCATCCCTTCAGTGGGAGCTGACCCTGGCCTCTCTTGGTAGGTGCTGAGGAACAAGGGTGTCTACGAGAGTGTCAAGTACATCCAGCAGGAAAACTTCTGGATTGGGCCCAGCTCGGTAAGGACCCTGCCAGACCCTTGGCCCTTGGTCTCATGCTCTGCTCCCCTGCCCTGAGCTAAGGGGGGTTCTCTGCAGTGGTTGTTTCCTCAGTGGGGCAGAGCTTGACTTCCGCACTCTAGCCTGCTGTCCCAGGCCCCCATCCCACTGGGACATATGGCATCACAGGGTCCTGCCTTCCCTGCACTGGGATGACAGAGACCTTTGTGTATTGCCTGTGGAGACCCCCTGCCCCTGCTAAACTCTCCCTGGGGATGGCTGGAGCAAAGGGAGGTGCACAGACAAATCCCCTTTACTGGCATGTCCCTGCCAGATCGACCTGATCCACCTGGGAGCCAAGTTCTCCCCCTGCATCCGGAAGGACCGGCAGGTGGAGCGGCTGATCCAGCGCGAGCGGGACCGGGAGCGGGGCTCCGGCTGCTGCGTGCAGAACGACAACTCAGGCTGCATCCAGACCCTGCCACAGGACTGCTCGGTGCGTGCCCCTGCCACGGGAAGGGCTGGGCATCCCTGGGGAAAGCAGGGGAAACCGTGTCAGCCCTGCACTGCAGCAGGGTAGGATGCACGTCTGGTCAGAGCCGTGCATTCCCTGCTGCATCCTCAGTCCCTCCGTGCTCCCTGCAGGAGACACTGGCAACGTTCATCAAGTGGCCGGGCAGCAATGCACCAGCCATGGGCTCGGGAGAGAGGCGGACCTCGGGGGCTGTGTGTCACCAGGACCCCAGGTAGACGTAGCAGCTGGGTGGAGGTGGCCCTGTCACCTGGCTGTGTGTGGGACACGGCAGAAGGGGCTGCCTTTCCAGCCTGGATGCCTTGAATCCTCTTGTCCGGGGGGATGGGAGGTTTTTGCACACTGGGAGAGTGATAAAGAGGGAGTCAGTGGGGAAACTGAGGCAGGGCCTGTCCTTAACACGGGCAGCAGCAGATGATGCTGTTGTGTTGTGCTTGTCCCTGTCCTGCTGGGATGGGAACATCCCTGGGCATCGGTGGATTGTCCAACAGCTCTGAGTTCTGTGGGATTCACCCACAGAAGGAGCTGCTTGGGGTGTTGTGGGACACCCACTGGTGGGCAGGATCGAGGCAGGTCCCAGAGCTGTCTGTGCCTGAGGGGGTTACTGGTCTGCAGGGGGGTGTGTTGGGGGGACCCACCCGACCCACCCCCCTCCTCCTGCCAGGACATGTGAGGAGCCCGCATCCAACCCACCCCATGTGTGGCCGGATGACATCACCAAGTGGCCGGTAAGAGCCCGGTGCCACCATCAGCTGGTGGCTCCATGGTGGCAGTGGCAATGAGCCTGCAAGGGTCTGCAGGGACAGCCTGGGGCTGGACTCTGACCAGGGCCCCTTTCCCTCCTGCTTCTAGATCTGCACCTACGAGACCAAAACCAACCACACGGGCTTTGCCCACCTGGACTGTGAGATCAAGGGCAGGCCCTGCTGCATTGGCACCAAGGGCAGGTGGGTTGTGGCAAAGGAGGCACCTGGCTGGGCTCCCCCCTCTGCACTCCTGCCTCGTGCTGTCCCATCAGTGTCCAGAGCTGTGCCTGGGGGGAGAGGGAGCTCACCTGAGGGGTGGGAAGCACAGTGGCAGCAGGCTGGGAGCTGAGGGGGATGCTCAGGGGTGTCCTGAGTGTGCCCTGCCCCCAGTGAGCCCCCTCCTGCCCCCTGCCAGCTGCGAGATCACCACGCGGGAGTACTGCGACTTCATGCACGGCTACTTCCACGAGGAGGCAACGCTCTGCTCGCAGGTGAGCAGGGCCAGGGAGCCATGGCAGGGTATGTGGGATACAGTGCTAACAGCCATGCTGATGCCAGAGGGCTTCAGAGTGTCCTACCAGGAATAGGACATGGTTGGGATGGGCCTGAGCAGGAGCAATGCAATGTGCAGGGACTTGCCCAGCTGTTGGCTGGGCTCCTGATGCTGTGCCCACCTTGCTGGTGTGGGGCAGAAGGCACCTTAACCAGCAGCACGGCAGCGTGGGTGCCCCACACCATCCAGAATCCCCTCACAGCTGCCACATGGCATCATAGGCAACTCATCCCTGTGACCCCTCCTCTGCTCCCTGTGGCTCTGGGGACAACCCTGTTGCCTTTGCAGGTGCACTGCCTGGACGAGGTCTGTGGGCTCCTGCCCTTCCTGAACCCGGAGGTCCCTGACCAGTTCTATCGCCTGTGGCTGTCCCTGTTCCTGCACGCCGGGTGAGCCGCAGCCCCCGTATCCCCAGGGATGGGGGAACTGGGCACTGGAGTGCCCACTGGGATGGGCTGGGAGAGAAGAGGGAGGGGCACTCCCAGACTGTGACAGGTGCCTTCAGTGGGGGTGTTTTGTGAGCTGTCTCGTGCCCAGGGCACTGGGTGGGAGGGCTGGGCAGGGGTCTCTAACCCAGGGCCTCTCCCCCAGCATCATCCACTGCCTGGTGTCGGTGACGTTCCAGATGACGGTGCTGCGGGACCTGGAGAAGCTGGCAGGCTGGCATCGCATCTCCATCATCTTCATCCTCAGTGGCATCACGGGCAACCTGGCCAGTGCCATCTTCCTACCCTACAGGGCAGAGGTGAGGGTTTGGGCGTCTGTCCCAAATCCTGTCAGCTCCCAGGGACCAAAGGACACCCCTCTCCATCCCCATCCTGGGCAGAGGTTTGAGGAAGGGGCTGGAGCACAGATTCTCACCCCCTGGCAGGGTTTGCTGCAGGGAGAAGGGGAGGGGGTGTCACTGCCCCACGTGTGGTGTTGGCACATGCCATGTGTGTCACATGTCACCACGTGTCTCTGAGCGTGCGGGGTCCCTGGGCAGGCAGATGGCTAATCTGCTGCCAGCCAAACCCTGTCAGGCTTTAAATGAGATCATGCCAAGGGCCCTAATCCCCCCACAGGTGTGCCAGGATGGGGCTGTGGTCTGTGAGGGGGTGATGCTCTCTGGCTGCTGAGTCACAGAAAATATCAGCTCTGCCAAAACAGCACCACCCTGCTCCCCTCCTCATCCTCCTGTGCCAGGGCTCCCACCCCTGAGCTCCATGCAGGATTCTGCACAAGAATGCAGGAGCCAAATGCACTTTGCTAGGGGAGGAGATGATCCCTGGGGAACATGGGGTGTGTCTGGGGTGACAGAGTCCAGCCCTGACTTCCCCCATCCCTGCAGGTGGGCCCTGCCGGCTCCCAGTTCGGCTTGCTGGCCTGCCTCTTCGTGGAGCTCTTCCAGAGCTGGCAAGTGCTGGAGAAACCCTGGAAAGCCTTCCTCAACCTCTTTGGCATCGTCCTCTTCCTCTTCATCTGCGGCCTCTTGCCCTGGATCGACAACATCGCTCACCTCTTCGGCTTCCTCAGCGGGCTCCTGCTGTCCTTCGCCTTCCTGCCCTACATCACCTTCGGCACGCTGGACAAGTTCCGCAAGCGGGCCATGATCATCGTGTCCCTGCTGGTCTTCGTGGGGCTCTTCGCCTCGCTGGTGGTGTGGCTCTACGTGTACCCCGTGAACTGGCGCTGGGTGGAGTACCTCACCTGCCTGCCCTTCACCAGCAAGTTCTGCGAGAAGTACGAGCTGGAGCAGGTCCTGCACTGACCCTGCTGGCAGGGACGGGGCTGGCACGGGAGGTGTTTCCCACGGGGTGGGTCCTCCCCAGCCTGTGGGAGGTGGTGGTGGCTGCTCCAGGATGGGGCAGACCCTGGGCATGGCTCCATCCTCAGGGAGGCTGGGTTTGGGGTACCCCTCGCTCGATGCTGGGGATGCAGGGCTGAGGCAGCCCTGCCTTGGCCGCCTTTGGGGCTCCCTCCTGATGCTGGAAAGCTGTAACTGGTTTGGGGACTGACTCTGGCTGCTGCCTGTGTGGGGAAAGGGCTGAGGGAAGCGGGATTTTGGTGTATCCATGGCCAGGCTGGACTCCCAGTCCTGGGGTGAAGTTGCTGAAGTCTCCAGCCTGTGCCCCTGCCTGCTGGGGCTGCATCCCACCTCAGTGCCCTGCAGCACTGCAGCTCATACTGTGAACACAACCCCCTTTTTGCAGGGGCACTTTTTTTATCCACAGCTCTTTAGGCCCAGGGTTTCCCCATTTTGGGCTTCCTGTGGTCTCTGTCGAGGCTCCAAGATGTTCAGGGCTGAGCTTCAAAGATATTTTTCAGTCCTGTTCTCCCTGAGGCCAAGGAGGCTTGTGCCTTCCCACCTGGCTCCTCACTGGATGGAGAGGCAGGACTTGGGGCAGGGGGCTTTACCTTCTCTTATTTCAGTGAAATTGTCCTTTTGGAAGGGGAGGAGTGGCAAGAACCATGTTTGTAGTGCCATGGTGGGAGGCAGACATGGAGAAAAACCCCCTGGGGGGGCACATGTGGCTGCTTCTGGAGCCCACAGACCTCTCAGGAAGCTGTTGGTGCTCCCACCTTCTGCCTTGAGTCCCTGCTTGAGTCCCTTTTTCAAGTCGTGGAGACCCAGGCAGCCTTCCTTCCTGTGGTGGTGCTGGTCAGATGGGGAAGTGCAGGATGGGGCAGTCACCTTCCCTCTTCCCTGCCCAAGGCTGCACAGTCCCACCTGCCCCCAGCCCTGGGCTGCTCTCCCCAGCATCTCCTCCTCCTTGCCACCAGCCATGGCACGAAGGCAGGTCCTTCCTGGGGTCCAGGTGACCCCTCTGGGCTGGTTTGGACCCAGGCTGGTGCCAGGCTGTCTCTCCCCTGAGATGTGTTGCTTTGGTGCTGGAAGCCTCAGTGCTTTTAAGTGGGGGCAGGTGGGAATGCCCCAGTTAGGATGTCCTGGATAAATATTCAAGGGCTGAGAGCCTGGCTCCCTCTCCACAACCACGTGTTGAGTGAGCCCAGGAGCATCTGCATCCGTCCCTGCATACTCCCTCCACCCTGGGCCAGTTTTCAGCCCCACTCTGTCCCTCCAGTTGCTGCTCCAGCCAAAGACAGACACTTCACCTCATTTGTCTCTTTTTGATACTTTTTTAAAAAGCTGTGGGTTCCCCCCCATCCTTAATAAATTTCTACCTGTATTTAATGAGATGCACAAGGTCTCTTCTCCCTTCTTGGGCATGGGGATGCAGCACTTTTGGGGGATTCTGGTTGTTCTGGTGATGTCTGGTGTGGCAGGGAGGGAGGACAAGCTGGGCTGGTGCCCTGATGGGCCACTCAGAGCCCTCCCTGGGAGGAGACAGGGTTTGGAGAGTCTCAAACAGAAGGAGAAGCCAAACATTTGGATCCATGGAACCTCCTGATCCTGCCTGAGGGCAGAGTCAGCCCTGCCTTTATCCCACCCTTCACTGAATGACCTGAGGCTGGATTTGCCTCTTCTCCCCTGAGGCTGAGGTGCCCCAAGGGGTCCTGGATGCTCCCCTCATAGCAACTGGTGCCCTCCCTCTGGCCATTGTGGTGAGGTCATGATCAAAGCAGGGCAGGAACACACATAGGTTGTGTAGAAAATCACCAGCACATCTTTATTTGCTGCTTTCCAACAACCTGAGTTTGCAGAAACCTTGTCCTGGGCTCGTTGTGGGTCTGGGACAGGGAGGACCAAATGGCTTGGGCTGGTTCCCTGGGGAGGCTCTGCAATGTGCAGCTGAGGGTGGCTGTGGGCTGGGAATGTGCTCCAAGGGGGCTGGAAGGATGGCTGTGGGTAGGGAGGAGGCTGCCATGGCCCCTGCCTGGCCTGGGGGCTGCTCAGGGAGGGCTTGGCCATGGTGTGCTCCACTCGTGGTGGCGGTGATGGTGAGAGGGGTGCCAGGCTGGGGCACGTGTTTGCAGGGGCTCTGCTGGGTGTCTCAGCAAACCGTGGTGGGTGGAAGTGTCCCCAAACCAGCAGAGCCCCCCAGCCATTCCCAGGGCAAAGCCTTTCCATCCCAGGGGGCTCGTGGCCCTGCAGCCCACCCAGACCTGCCAGCAGAGCCCAGGGAGCCGATGCTTCCAGCAGGATCAGGCAGGAATTCCTGTGCCCAGCCCCGCAGGGATGGGACGGGGCCAGGCCGGTGTGGCTGGCAGGCAGAAGTGGCAGAGGGAGCAGCTGTATCCAGGGCCAGCTGGGGACGATGGATCACAGCGTGGGGATGGAGGGGGGCTGCAGCCTGTCACCCCCAGGCAGGCCAGGCCAGCGGGGCCTCAGCAGCCGCTGTTCCTGCGCATGAAGGCGTGTCCCCGCACCGGGTGCTGCATCTCCACGAAGGCCAGCTCCCCCACGGTCACCTGGCAGGGCCCCAGCGCCTGGAAGCCGCACTTCTGGTAGAAGGGCACGAGGAAGGGCTCGCACATGAGCAGGGCGCGGCGGGCGCAGGGCAGGCAGCGCAGGTGCTGCAGGTAGCGCCACATCAGGATGGAGCCCTTGCCCTGCTGGCGCACGGTGCGGTGCACGGCCAGCACGTGGATGTGCACGGCCGAGCCCTGCGGCTTGTGCAGGGTCAGCGCTGCCTGCCAGGGGGGAAACAGGCCTTAGCAGGACCTGGGGGTCCCATCTTGCTTCTTATTCCCCACCCCAAAGAACCAGGCTCCGCATCCCCCCCTGTGCCTGTTTGCCTCCCCCCTGTCATCCTCTGAGGGTTTTTAATTTTAAAATGAATGTTGAGGGGGATATTTAACTTGGCATATTTTTTAACAGCGTCGTTTAAATTAGTTAATGAGAAAGCTCATTTCTACCAGAGCAGCCTTATAGCAGTTAGTTATGGGAGAAGATTTTGGGAGTAGCCTCAGGGCCCCAGAGAGCTTCTCCTGGTCCCCAGGCTCTGGCAGGGCTGGTGCCCTGAAGGGCCACTCAAAGCCCTCCCTGGGAGGAGACAGGGTTTGGAGAGTCTCAAGCAGAAGGAGAAGCCAAACATCTGGATCCATGGAACCTCCTGATCCTGCCTGAGGGCAGAGTCAGCCCTGCCTTTATCCCACCCTTCACTGAATGACCTGAGGCTGGATTTGCCTCTTCTCCCATGAGGCTGAAGTGCCCCAAGGGGTCCTGGATTGCTCCCCTCATAGCAGCTGGTGCCCTCCCTGGTGGTGCACGAGGTGGGAAGGACTGGGTCATACCTGGCTGAGCCTCTCCTGGTCCCAGAGGGAGCCAATGATGAAAGCCACGAGCCTCCCTTCCTCAAACCAGCCGAGGGACAGCTCCGGGCACAGGTTCAGGAAGTGGCGGATCTCATCCAGGTGCAGGGGACAGTCCCCAGAAACTGATATAAAGGCTGGAGGAGGGCAGTGGTGAGCACAGGGAGAGACACAAAGCACACCCGACCCAGAAACAGCCCCAGCACTGATGTAGGGGAGGGAAAGTGGGATGTGATGGGGAGAGATGGCATGTGTCCTGCTGCCTGCTAGGTCTAAAGGAGTTCTGAGGGACACAGATGGTTCCAGGGAGCAGTTCTGCTTCTCCAGAGGCAGTTCCCCATGGCCCAGTGACCAGCTCCTGACTCTGCTGATTCCAGAGCTACAGCAGCCGGTGCTGAATTGAGCCCACCCTGCCAGCACCTCCCTGGCTGCCCCTCTGCTTGGAGAGGAGGGAGAAATGGGCTGGGTGAGTCTGGGTGAGGGAAGCTATGGTGAAGGAAACACGGAAAGGTTGCCAGGGTAGCACCTCAAAGTGCCCCTGTGCAGGAGGAGGCAGAGCATGGTGTCCTTCCTCCCTCTTCCCCTTTTCCTATCCTGTCTTTTGCAGGGTTGTTTTGGGGTCCTACTCAGCATCACCTCCCACCACCCCCACCCCAGGCTGAGCTGGGGCCGTGGTTCTCCAGCTCATTAACCACAGACCCTCCACTTCCTTAGGGAGCCCGTGGTGGCCTGGCCACAAGCCACGGCCACTGCATCCCTCCCACGGGGGAATTCACCACTACAAGGAGCACAAGAGACTGCAAACAGATGCTGAGGTGCCAGCTGATGGCACCGGACAGGTCCCCCGTACCTTCGCGCTCGATCTCGAACACGCTGACGGCATCCTCGGGGCTGAGGCAGCGGAACTCGCTGGCGGGCAGCGTGTGCCGGCGCTGGCCCCCGGGCGAGCTGCGGGGCGACCGCAGCTGGACCGGCTTCAGGAAGGGCAGCGCGCTGAGTGCCGACATCCTCCTCCTCTTCTTCCTCCTCTTCTTCCTCCGCCCGCCTGGCTTCCCGCCGCTCCCTCGGTTCGGGGCAGCCCCTGCCGGCTCCCGCACCCTTTATTCCAGTCGAGCTCCTCCAGCACTGTTAGCCGGCAGGAGGATCTGTTGTTCACAGACAGGATTAGGATGCTTGTCTCCCTTTTCCTGTGAGTATTTGTTTGTATGTACAGCAAATATCTGCCCACAGTGATCCCAGCTGCTCTCGCTGTCAGCCGGGGGACACAGGAGGCTGGCACTGAGCAAACCCCAGGGAGCAGGGGGACAGAAGCACAGTGATCCAGGTGGTGGGACAGAGCAGGGAGAGGAGCCAGCGTTGTTAGAGCTGGAGCAGGTGGGGGGCTGAGCATCCCGCCCAACATTGCCCAGCCCATGGCAGCACCAGGCAGTGGGATGGGCAGGAGAACCCTGCAGCTGCTGCCCTGGGGGCAGGCAGGGTGGGATGTTCCTGCAGGAAGCCAAGAGCTGTAAAACAAGCATCCATCTGTGTGAAAGTTCCCTGTGACGCTCTGGTGTTTGTGGAACAGCTGTGCTGGAGTAGGAGGTCACAGAGGTGTCCTGACAGGGACACACACCAGGCAGCCGGAGCCACCTCCTCCAGAGCACAAGCTGGCAGGATTTACCCCCTGCTCTGACTCACTGAGCAGGTGAGTGACACAGCTTCACCTCTGTTGGCTTCTTAGGTCATGTCCACACCCACAGAAGTGGGTCCCTGGCAGGGCTGAGCAGGTGACTGAGGCTGAAAGCCTTGCCTGTCCTCCTGGTGAGGTGGCCTCAGGCTTTGCCCCCTGCCCCAGCAGCTTTGGGCAGCATGATCCCACCAGACACAGCCCAGGCCAGGACACTCCACCTTCAACACGGGTTCCCCAAGAGGGTCACCAGCACCCAAGGTCATCTGGCAGCACCCATCCTGCACAGCCCAGACAAATCCCTTGACCTGGATCAGAGCCTGTAGCTTCAATCTGCCTCTGCTTTCACGTGTGAGTGAACCGAGTCAATAAACCCAGAGAAAATCACAAACTGAGTGAATAACTTCACTAAGCACACACATCCTGCAACCAGAAATAGTGGGAATGGCTTTCAGAGCGACCCATTCAACCATCCATCCAAACTCAGAGCAATTCATTTTCAGTGAAGCCAGAGCAAAGCCAGGTCATTTTTGATTATTGTTTCAGAGGTGCCGGCTTTCCCTGCTAATTATAGGCTTGCCTCCAGCTAATAGGATTTATGAAACAAAAGCATTACCAGCACAAACATTGCACAGGGCACAACTGGCGCAAGCTGGGAATTTTCCATCCTGAAATGCCAAGGGCTGGATGCTTGAAATGCCAGTGTTATCCAGCCTGAGGTGAAACAGGGTGGTCAGGATTTATTTTCAATGAATCGCTGGTTTGGCTGTGGGTGTGTATCTAAGGGATCAGATCCATCAGGGACAGAGGGTTTCCTTGGCAAGAGAATTATTCAGCACCCCCAGTGCTCATTCCAGCCACCAAGGACTGACTGAAGTCATGCTGGGAATGGGTGGTTCATGCTCCTGAAGGAGGGAAGCAAAGCAGGGTGAGCTGGCAGGGAGAGTGGGGTGCTGGGGAGTGGGGGTGGGTCTAATGTTCATAGAGCTTATTATCAAATCGTCTGGAACTCCTCATCCTACTAATTGGATTAGGGACTCTTCTGCATGAATAAATCCCAGAGCAGGCAAGAGAGTAAGCTCAGGGGACCTTGAAAATGCAGTGGTGGTTTGATCCTGGGGGTGCTAAGTGCCTGGGGTGAGTCCTGGGGATGCTGCTGGGGAGATGCTGCTGGATCAGGCTGGGATGGCTGTACAGGGATGAGAGGGCAGTAGAATATGACCTCAGGCATGGCCAGCATTTCAGTTCCCATGGGAATTATGGAGCTGGATTGTGGAATCACAGAATGGTTTGTGTTGGAAAGGACTGCTAAAGGTCATGCAGTTCACCCCCTGCAGGGAGAAGGGACACCTTCCAGCAGCCCAGGTTCCTCAGGGATGTTTGCTCTCCCACAGCCACCATTCAGTGCTCACTGTCCAAGAGCAAGTCTTTATCCCAGAGCACACGGAGGCTGGAAACAACTGAGTCACAGGAAGTCTCTTCAGGGACATCCACGGAGCTCAAGATTCAAAACCTCCCGTTTAAGTGGCAGCTCCAATCCCATTAGAGAAAACTGGGAAAGGGCAATCAGGTCCCTCCAGCTATTTTTAGGAATTGCTTGAGACCCCAATCAGCAACACCCTGGAGCAGTAGGCAGGGAAGGGGAAAGGTTGCTCCTTGATTGTTTTGCTTGTATTTTTTCCCCTTCAACACGTTATTCCTGCCAACCCAGGTTATACAGCTGAAGGGCTGATATATTTTTGTTTGTTTTCTGGAAATTAACTTCTTGCTTTGCTTCTCAGCTCCCTGAAGAGTTGAAGTTCTTCTGGGGAGGGGGGGATACATAGAACCTGCAAAGCACAGAGGAACCAACAGTGCTCCCTAACCCTGGAGAAACCCACAAGCCCTGCACAGCCATGGGGGTACCATGGGAAGCATCAAACCTGCAGAAGTAAAGGAAACTCTGCCCAGGTCCCAGAGTAAGTGAGAAACAGCAATGAGGAAAATTCTCCCTAGCTCATCGTTCCTCCAGCAAAGCCTTCTGTATTTGTTCATGTCACTTATACCCCAGGCTGAATTTTGTGCTGTGACTCCTTGCCAGACCTGCCTGAGATGAGCCCACTATGTCTGTGTGACACAGCAGTGAACCAAGAGCTTGCTCTGTAAATTTTTCCTGCCATCACTTGTGTTTGTGCACCAGAAATCAGAGCATCCCCGTGGTACAGAGAGATGCTCACAGATAAATAAACAGGCACAGAGCACCCCTGGCAATATCTTTTACTAAGTTATGACTCGTCTGCCAGGGTTTGGAGCTGGATTTTTTTAATTAGTTGACAGTACGGAGTTATTCACCCAGCCTTAAAGTCAAATACTGTGTGGAAGAGCTCAGAGAACAGGGAGGGTTTCAGTGAGAAGAGTCCCTGCAGCTGGATTTTGGAAGCACATGTTGGAAATGTAGGGGTGAGACAGGAGCTGGGATGAGAGTCACACCCTTCCCTGTGCCAAAACCACTTCTCAGCAAGCCAAGCTCTGTATACCAACCTCCCACCCCTCTGGGGAAATCCCCCCCGTCCTGGGACACAGGAGCAAGCTGCAGTGGCCAGGGGACCAGCAGCTGTCCCTGAGACTGTCAGTGCCCCTGGGATGGGGCAGGAATGTGGGTGCTGTGCCCTTGGGATGGGGCAGGAATGTGGGTGCTGTGCCCCTGGAATGGGGCAGGAATGTGGGTGCTGTGCCCCTGGAATGGGGCAGGAATGTGGGTGCTGTGCCCCTGGGATGGGGCAGGAATGTGGGTGCTTACCAGCCGGGATGCTGAGCTGCTCCCTGCCCGCCTTCCTCCAGGGGTGCTGTCTCAGCGCTGGCAGGAGAGGAGGATCTGGGCTTTTGCCTCCCCTCCTCGGTCTGCTGCATCCTCCACAGCCCCTGCTTATATATATTTGTTATTTATGGAGCACGTGATGACATCCTAAGGAGTTTAGAACTCCGATGAAAGACAGGGAGAGGTGAGAGGCTTTGAGGTGTCAGGCCAGCAAAGGGATCACTTCAGGCTTCTTTCTATTATTTTTTTTTCCTTCCCCTGGCATGACTGGCTGCAGAAGGATAAAGCATTTAGCTGATTGCTCTGCACTGCGGGCTGGGCAGGGAGAGCAGGGGACTCAACCAGGAAAAGGGAGCACTGTCCTGTTCTGATCCTGACCTCTCCAACAGCATCAGGAGCCCTGCCCAGAGTGGATGAGCTTTATTTGGGGAAGGATGGGGAGGCTGCTGGTTGTGCCAGGCATGATCATGGCTTGGGCTTGAGCAGGGAGGAGTTTCTCAGCTGGCTTGTAAGATGGGGAGTCACATCTAAGGTTTCTTGCCCAAGGAGCTTATTCCAAAAACCAAGCACCTCTCCCCCATGCAGCCCTGTGTTCCTGGGCACTGTTACATAAGAAACTGGACAGGCAGAACCAGCAATGTTTGTCCCCTTCAGGACACGTGTATAAAAGGGAGATTATCCCAGGCAGGAGCACGATGTTGGCATCATTATTATCATTGGGAACCAGATGCAGCCCTGAAAGAAGCCTGGAGCAGGAGGCAGAGCTGGCTTTGCTCCACTGGAGACATTTCCAGGGCAGCTCTGGACCTACTTTAGCTTCCAGCCATGGGCAAAATGACCTGGAGCTACGCCCTTACCTCTCTCTTTTAAGCTTTTTCATTGAATCGAAACAGAAATATGACCCAGCAGCTTTTTGCTCTTCAGAAATGGCATTTTGGAGCAACTCCCAGCCATTAAAAGAGCCCAGCAGAGCAGAGGTTGGCCCGTGGCTGGAATAGTCAATCAGGGATGCCGCATTCCACAGTCTGTCTCTTCCTGCTCCCACACAGCTGCAGAGGGTCAACAACTCCATTAAATTAAAGCCACAGCAGTGTGCCTAGATTTGCATATTTAGCAGCTCTCTCAGCATCTTCAAAGAGCCCCGAGCTGTCAGTGCGGCCCCGCAGCCGGGCTGGTCCCTCTGTCGCGGTACCCACTCAGGAAGACAGCAATTATCTCCGGGTAGGATTTGCTGCGAGGGGCGACATGTGGGAGGCAGATGAATCACGGCTTGGCCCCCCCTCTGCCAGGGTTTGGGAATGGAGCCGTGCACACGCAGCTCAGGGGCTCCTCAGCTGCGCCTCCGGCCCCATTATCCCGGTGCTCAGCGGATTAAGCTGCTTGTGGTGTCTGCAGCCCTGGCTTTGAGGCAGGGTCTGCCATCACGGGATTCAGATGGCATCGGGATCCTTCCCTGTGTGACGCCGTTGGAGAGGTTTCTCTCTCAGACTCACGTAATTGCATAATTCCCGAGCTGGATGCTGTTTACATCCCTGTTCAGC